ACGTTAAAACTAGTTATACTTTTTTTTCTCCTATAAACAATATTTTACTAATAAAAAGAAAATATTTTATTCTTTTAAACATAATGTACTGCCTATGGAGAAATTAGATTACAAATTTTTCTGTACGCATTGGATAGCTATAAAAATATATACTGGCTTGGCAAATTATTTAATTCAAAAACTCTGAATAATTATTTTGCCCATTAAAGTACTAGCTCTCTCGGGGCCTTAGTAAGGAGTTGTGACCCAAAGGCAAGTGGCTTGAAATTGCCAGCTACTCTGTAGGAGAAAGATGGGCAGTCTCTTCCCATGCAGTGATGGTCTCTGAAAACCTGGTGGTTTAGCTTTGAGTGGGTTCCAACTCGACAGGAATAAACAACATTCAGTGACCATATAAGAGCCTTGCATGGTTACACTGGGTATTTACACTCACACTAAGGTATCGGAAGACTAAGCTAGCTTTAGTCAAAAGTATGTATTTAGCCCTACCCTAGCAATACATCGGTATTGCACTATTCATAAGATGGAATAAGTAATTCATAGATTTGAATGAGGAAAACCACAGTAGAAAAATAGGCTAATGTATATTTTCCTGCATTTATGTAAGCCTACTAAATCCTGGAAGAACTCTTAATGGCAAACGACATAATTCTCTAGACACTGCCTTATGTAACCGTCATGTCTGGAGGTTTCCTAATTGACTGATAATCATTAATAGATTATTTTCTTTATATGAATAATTTAAACTGGCACTCGAGTCATGTTATGTGTAATGAGTTGCACTGTTAATGAAACGTTTAGGTGTTCAAATCCACTCACTGCTTCGACGGTGGGCAGTGTTCTCATTGAGAATCACAGCCGTGGAAACCCAGTGAAAATTCTGATTCATCATGGATTCCATGGTGGCGAGTTTGGGTTTTCATTTAATGTTTAATGATTTAAAGCCATTAGGAAGATGGACACATTTATTGTCTCAGTAGATACCAGTGACTGTTAGTTAATTATATGCTAGCATCAGAATCACTTGTGGAAATGTTCTCAAAGTATAATTACCCCTAGGTATTTGGTTTCATTGACCTGATAATATCCTTGCATATAAAGTTTGATAAATCTTTCTAGATGATATGGATGGCCCTGGTGCATCAGTCAACCTCCAAACCCATTGCCATTTATTCCATTCCAGGTTAGTGGCCCTGTGGGGCAGAAGAGAACTACCCCATAGGCTTTCCAAGGCTGTGATCATTACAGAAGAGAAGTAGAGAGCCATGCCACAAGTTTCTTTTAACCATCTACTTTTTACTTAACACAGAATAAAAATTATAGGTGCAGTCATCCTCACAATCTCCAGTGTGCTCCAACCCATTGTCACATTTGCTGTGTCAGTTCATCTTGTTGAGGGTTTTCCCTCATCAGCAACCAATCGTACAGATGATACAACCTTGCTTGTAGGAAGTGAAAGACAACTTGACGCAGTCACTGAAGAAAATTTAGAAAACTCATGTTTAGAGTCAACCAGACCTCAGGGAGGGCCTTTGTATTAAAAAATTAGTTATTATATTTTGGAGGAACATTAATCTCAGTGGTCCAGCACTCTTCTGTCAATATGCTGTGCTGAGATAACCTGGGGCTGCTGTGATGCTGAACCTTGTGCCACTGGGGTGTCAAATGCCATAACAGTTACCCGTGGTGGACTGTGTTTGGTGGAGTGCCTAGTTTAAGACAGGTTTGGAAGCAGGAATGGCATCCACTTCCTAAACCACATGTCTATGGAAACTCTATGAACTTGGAGAAATGATGGTAGTTGTAGAAAGGCTTAAGGTCTTTTGTTCATAGGGTCACTAAGAGTCATGCTTGGCTCAATGGTAATCAACAACAACAACAACAACATTTTAAGCAGCAAGTTAATTTGAACACATATATTTATTTTTCAGTGAGTTTTGAAAAACAAACTGAATACCTTTTTATGGCATTTACATGTGCATTAAAAGGACTACACATTTTAAAAAACACAAAGCACTTAAAATGTTGGATCCATGCTGTGCTGTGTATAAGCAATTAAAAAATTCTTTACACCATTTAAATGCTTTCTTCTAAGTTTCAAGGTTATTTCAGTATGTGGAAGGGACAGGATGCTATGGTTCAATCCAGAAAATAGGATCGTTAGAGAAGAGTTTTAAGGATTTTAAGATGAGGTGATATCTCAGCACTCAAGCAAAATTGTGTAATGTAGGCATTTTTCCCCAAGAGTCAAAACTCATTTCTTTCCTGGAGAAATGTGAAAGGCTGGATTTCACTTAACTTCATGGTCAATTTAAAATAATAAAATGCCTTTCAGAGCCTGATGGACTGGTACAGAATCAGTTTGTGGCTTCAGTTCAGCTGCGTAATGTAATTGGGGGGAAAACTGACAATGGAATCTTATTTCCAATGGTCAGATCCTAGCTTAGAGTCTTGACCATTTGCTGATGTTATGTCCTGAAGTCATATTGGGATCATATTAACTTGCAGAGGAAAAAAAAATTAAAAGATATTACTCAAATGACAGAAGACACTGACATTCTTAGATTTATTATAAACCCGTTTTGATTGGTGCTTAGACAATTACTTACTTGAAGCACATCATACATATTGCTTGAGGACATCATAAAAACATGGAGCATGCTTTACTACCCTGTGGGCCATTTTCTTGTAGAAACTGGGGCAAAATAAAATTGTGCAGCATTTCCAAGTCTTTGAATGCTGTGAAAGATCACTTCATGATTAAATCAGCTTCTAGTGAAATAAAATGAGGATGTAGTGTAATTAAAAAATTGTAATTTCCTGAAAACAACATCCTATCAAAAGTATCATTATCAAAGTTAATAGGATATGTGACAATTTTTTAATTAGAAGAATGCTTTCTTTTTAAGTCGAGTGCATATCACTGCTCTTTATGATCTCATGTATGTTATTGAAGACTCATTACTCTTCCCATTTAAGATAAGATCAGAGTTAACTTTTTCTCATTTCTAATAGATCAGCATACCAAAGGCTGAATGAAATCCTAGGATGGTTCTTATTCTTTGTGTTACGTTTTCTTTTATTAGCTATATAAATGCAAACAAACAAAAGCAACCAACCTTTAGAATATTCAATTGTTTTCCTTCCCTTTAAATCAATCAGTTATATTTCAGTTTTGTTGTAGAAGGTGACATGGAAAGATAAGTATGTTATCCAGAGAACTCTTGAAGTAAATTGCTGGACTGTGAAGTCCTTATTTATCTTTGCTTTGTAATACATGGTGATTAGCATGATATGGAACCCATAGCAAGAATGCAGATGTTGAATGAGAAGTGGATAAGTTGTTCTTTGAATAGACACAGCTTTCTGCAAGGTCACTTATTTATTTATTTCTTTTTACTCCGGAAAAGAACTTCATTGTTAAAAAAAATTAATTAACATATTAATGATATGGAGGAATATCCTAGATTTACTCACTTGTGTCCTAGTTTTACGTCCTGTAACTCTCCAAAGCACAGACTGCAAAGCTGAACTATGGGACAGTGGATACATAGAGACAGTGAGTTTATTCCTCAGAGCATTGAGCTTCCGATAAAAAACCAAAACAAAAAACAAAACAAAACAACCCGCACAACCTCATTGCCCTTCAGGCAGAAATTACTCAGAGTTGACCCTCCATTGAGTTTTCAGAGGCTATAAATTACATAGAAAGTGATTGTCCATAACTTTCTCAAGAAGCAGCTAGTGGATTAACACTCTGTGCCTTTGGGTTGGCAGCACAACTCTTTACCCATTAGGCCACCAGAGCTCCCTGAGCTGCTGTTAAAGATGTTGGAAAAATTTGGAAATGTAGAGTGGTAACAGTTGTACAGATGAGAAACACAATCCATAAAGTCCTGAATGTGAAGAATTCTGAAATGAAAGTTAAGTAATATAAAAAAGTTTAAAGAATCCATGGCACCACATTTGAATGTGAAAGTCTTCTCATAGCTAGATCCTAGGGGGAAATGGCTTGACCTGTCTTGTGAGATGTTCATGGCAAGTTTAGCTTTAAAACAATTTTGTGATGATCTTTGTATGAATTGGGGTGATTTACCAGCTTATAGTCATTATCCTCTTCTTCCAGGTTTGGTGTTTGGGCAATGAGACACGGTATCATATAAACAAGTCAGTGGATGGCTCCACCTTTTCTGTGGTCATTCCATCTCTGGTTCCAGGGATCCGATACAGTGTGGAAGTGGCAGCCAGCACAGGCGCTGGGCCCGGGGTGAAGAGCGAGCCGCAGTTCATCCAGTTAGGTGAGACCCTGTGAATATTCTGCTTGATGGGCTTCCTCTGTGTCATTGGCTTTCTTTTCCTTTTTTTTTGATAACCCAGTCACTGTTTCCAGTTGAAAAGAATAGAGAATGTAGCCTGAGAGCTATAGCTATATCTTAACAACAAGAAATCAGAACTGAACAACTTTTAATGCATAGATTATAGATATTATTCCATACTGAAGGCTTTTGTTTTTCACTACCAGCCTAGTCTTAGTCCTATTGAGTTGTTATTTCTAAGGAATTTATGCAACAAATGCTATTTCATGAACATCAAAGATTCATCACTAAAAGAAAGAGGTAACCTTCACTCTGATAGAACTTACAGTTTGAAATTTACAATTTGATTTAGTGTCTATTTAAAATGGTAGTTTCTGTTTTTCTTTTTTAAAAAAATGTAGATGACACTATAAGAGAACATTGAAATATGGTGCATACTGATTGGAAAAGGGAGAATCATTTATGTTTCAAAATTGATTAGATTAATTTAAAAAAATGAACGTAAAAACAAAATGGAATGTGATTATTTGTAAAACGTAAGTCTAACAGTAGCAATAAATAATAACAAAATGCGGTTTTAACTGACACTTAAGATAGAAGATTATAAATTAAGAAAGAATATGTAAAATATTGTGAAACTTCTGAAAGGTGCTGAGAATTTTATCACATATAGTTAGTATCTGTGTCTTCCAGGTCAGAAGCTAAGCATTTTGAATGGAGTAACATATGTTGGGTGGCTAACTGGAAGGTAGACAGTTCAAACCCACCAAGCACTCCCGGGAGGAAATTTGGACAAGCCCCTGTTAGGATTTACAGCCTCAGCCTCAGAAATGCAATGGAGAGTCACCATAAATAAAAAAAAGAGTGGGTTTGGTTTGGAATAAACTAGGAAAAAAATTGGATGTACGAATCCTTATATGTCACAATAAGGACACAGAAGTTTTTCAATATGTTCATAATCTACATGACACATTCTAGATATCATTTTGAAACAAAATGAAGAAATATTTGGCCTTGGCTGAATTGAATTTTTATCCATGAAGAACATTGCATTCCTTTGGGAAATGTATTGGAGTTCTATTGTTGCTACTGTTTTGTTTTTTCTAAAAGATACAATTGTCAAATAATCAGCTAGGGAATAACTGCTTTACCCTTAACTGTGTTCTGAGACGTCCACTCAGACCTTCAGTGAAGAGCCGTGGGCCAGCATTTGAGTTTTGGATTATGTTTTGTGTTTATCACCCTTTAAAAAAAAATTTAAAAAGGATATGTGTAATTCCTAAGCAAAAAAAAATAGCTCCATGGTTCTGGTTCCAAATGTTTGAAAAAATTTGGACAATAGACAAAACTGAGGAGAATAAATTGTCTGATGAATCTGTATTGAGAAAATAGTTAATAAACACATGTTCCTTTGGGAAAATTTCAGTATTCCTTTATTAAAATTGAAATTTTATGTTACATTGTGATAACCCTATATACTGTTCATGTTGCTGACCTATTTTGATAACATAATTTTTAGACCTTATTTTTGGAAGATTGATTGGATAAAACGCTCTATAATTTTATTTACTTAAGATTAAAAACACAGGATTTGAGGGTCAGAGAGATTTTCTTTAAATTATAAATGTGCTCCAGTTTTCCATATCTTAATTTAGCCTCAGCTGCACTGAGACAAAGACAGAGAAATAGAGTGGCTGTTTTAATTCATTAGTCACACCACACTGTATTCTGGTAAACCCATCTGGTGGGTTGCATGGAACCTCTCTTTGCTGTCTCCATAAAATCTGAAGCCTCTCGACTTAACCTTGCACAAATAGCCATGAAATCTATAAACCTAGCAGATACAAAGGGTGTATTAGAGAAAAAAGAATAGATCTGCTTGGTGAACCTTCAGAGGACAAAGTGTTCGTAGGATAACCAGAGATAAAAGGGGCTTTAACATGACATAAAACTTTCAGTCAACAAACACTTGAAGGCAGGTGACTTCCTGTAAAAGTAGGGTTTTTCAGCCTTCACCCTTCATAGAATGAAACTCCCCTCCCCCCAAGGGGAAAAAATTGCATGCACACACACAACCCCCTATGAAAAGCAATTTAACTATTTTAAATTAAGAAGCTTACTGATTTCTTTAGACAGATTTAGCCATTGAATGCTTATTTTTCGTGTCAGTTGTTTTTATCAGGTTTTAAGATCAGGTTTTAAGGAAAGGTGGTAGTATAATGGTTAAGCACTCAATTGCTACCCGAAAGGCAGGGATGGTGGTGGTTCCAGTTCACCAAGTTCAGCTGTCTCTCCACAAAATCCAAATGTGGTTGTCTGTATCTCTAAAGATGACAGACTTGGAAAGCCTGGCGAGAGGATTGGTGCGTGAGGAAGGGTATCTATTCTGTCATTGTAGAGTGACTGTGAGTTAGAATCAACCTGATTGCATTAGGTGGGCTTGTTTTCTTAGTATAGAGTTTTATTCCCTTTTAAACATGTTGCTAATGTGTAATACATTATCCAATTTTCTGGGGGGAAAATGTTAGTTTTGGACTGGAACAAATGTGTTTATGTGAACAGTATTTTTTAGAGTCAAATGATACAACTGTAAGATTGCACCAATCTTAATGAAACAGACAACACCTTCTTGCTGCACCAGATGTTGTGGGGAAAGAACATTGAAGCTGCAGGCAGCAGTGGGACTCCTGCCATGGGGCACTGGCAAAGCTGGCAGTGCTCGGTGCCAGCAAAGTCGGATGCTGCTTTGATGGTACGGCAACAGCCTCCAGTTTTCTGCAAATATTTTACACATGCTCAGTGTGACCTGATGTCATGGTGGGCTTGGCAAACGAGTAGGTTTCACACATACATGTAAAATAAATAAATTGTAGTGGCCACATATTAATTCTTTTCATTCTTGAATTGAGACAGCTAATAAAAAGCAGAACGTTGTGACTGCCTAAATAACACTTGATAACTCTTTTACATATTTAATATTCCTTTCTTATACCTGTTGTTGGCTATGTCTATTATTTTAAAAGAAAGATTACCCATGTTCTCCCAACACTAATATTATCTTAAACTTTCATTCTGTTGAATGACCTTGAATTTTCTAGACTCTTCTGAGCACAGGTTCAAATAATGTGTTTCTAAGACAATCACACTATGATCTTTAAGAGGGAGACAGACACACAAATATGTACATTTATTTTCAATATCTAACTTATAAAATAAATTGTCTATTTCTTCCATGGTGCCACCCTTTGAGCTCAAGCTGCCAACTTTTCAATTAGAAGTAGAATGATGGGGAGCTCTGGTGGCCTAGTGGCAAGGAGCTGCAACTACAATCCCACAGGCACACGGTTCGAATCCACCAGATGCTCTGCTGGGAAAAGGAGGAACAATCTCCTCCTGTACCAGTCAGATCTGATTTGACAGTATACTCACACAAAAATAAAATTAAAAAAAATTTAAAAAAAGAAGTAGAATGCATTAACCATTTGCCTTACCCAGAATCTTAAAACTTCTTAACCCAACTCATTGCCAACTAATCAATTCGGACAAATAATTACCCTGTCAGATGGCAAAACTGCTCCATACAGTTTCTAAGGAAGCATACTGTGTCATCTTTGTCAGGCAGAGTGGATGGTGGGTTAAAAAAACAACAACAAACAACCTTTCCATTTTCAGCTGAGCACTGAACTACCGCACTACTAGGGCTTCTAAAATATTTAAATCCACTGCTATCAAGTAGCTCTTGATTCATAATGACTCTATTTTTCTGAAGCTATAAATAGAGGTGCTAAGGACCTCAGAGCTTCTTAAATACTTACTGAGCAATAGTTCATTGCCACTGAATCAGTTCTGACTCAGCTCGAGCCTCCATCACCTGTCTTTCAACCCTGGACTTGCTGGTTGATTCCAGGTGCATTCAGTTATGCAGATGACACAACTTTGCTTGCTGAAAGTGAGAACTTGAAACACTTGCTGCAGAAGATCAAAGACTACAGCCTTCAATATGGATTATATCTAAGCATCAAGAAAACAATAATCCTTACCAGTGGACCACAAGACAACATCATGTCTGATGGAGAAAAGATTGATGTCAACAATTTCATCTTACGTGGATCCACAGTCAATATTATTGGTACCAGGTGTCAAGAATTTAAAGTCATTAATGTTACATTGGGTAAATTAGGTTGTCAAGGACTGCTCCAAAATGCTTAGGAGCAATGATGTCAATTTAAAGACTAAGGTGCACTTGATTCAAGCCTTGGTCTTTTCAGTTACTCGCTATTTACCTGAAAATTGGACAGTGAATAAATATGACAGAATGATCAATTAATGCCTTTAATTGGTGTTAGACAATAGTACTGACTATCCCATGGACTTCCCAAAGAGCATCCAAGTATTTCTTAGAAAAGGTACAACCAGGTTGCTCCTTAGAGGCAAAAATTTTGAAACTTTGTCTCCTATACTTCTGATGTGCTGTTAGGAGGGGCCAGTCCTTGGAAAAAGATGTCATGCTGGGAAAGGTGGACGATCAGAGAAAGACCCTCAACAAGATGGATTCATAGAGTGACTGTGACAGTGGGCTCAAATATATCAGAGATGATGATGATTGCCCAGGATAGGGCAGAGTCAGATCTTTTGTTTATAGGGAATATTATGAGGCATAGTCAACTATACAACACCGAACAAGAGAAACTCCCACCTTCATTTAGCAGTCTCGTGGGTTATATGCTAGTCTACCAAGGCTTCCTAAGTACTTTTTAGATACTCCTTATTTATTTTTCTACATGCAATAAAAGTAGTTCATTTTCTAGTGTTAATCTTGTCTCTATACTGTGAAACAGAAGGGGTGGCCTGTAGAGTTTTTTGGAGTAAAAGCAAAAGTCATGTGTCATTGCTCTTGCTTTTAAGAATAAACTTACAAAATCACTGCCATGTTTATTTTTAATTAACACTAAGAATGTGCTTATAATTTTCTGTCAATCTCTTGCTATTTTAATTAATGATGGTGGGTGTTGAAGAGTGAAAAACAGAAATTAATGTCTAGGAGTTGACAAAATAATGACAATAGCTTTGATTTGCTCTTCAGACTCTCATGGGAACCCAGTGTCACCTGAGGACCAGGTCAGCCTCGCCCAGCAGATCTCGGATGTTGTGAAGCAGCCGGCGTTCATCGCTGGCATCGGGGCAGCCTGCTGGATCATCCTCATGGTCTTCAGCATCTGGCTTTACCGGCACCGCAAGAAGAGGAATGGGCTCACCAGCACATATGCGGGCATCCGCAAAGGTACTGTTGGCTGTCTTTCAATACACTTACCTAACTCTCGACTTTAATGTGTGTCTCTAAGTTACTCACGTCCTTCATCAAGTTATTTAAGCAATTCCTGATGTATTCATATTTTGTAGTTATATCTACCAGATATTTATTACACTTGAGGAGCAGTAATACAGATAGGGCTTATTGGTTAGAGACCCAGGTATTTTAAAATCTACTTCAATAATATTTGTGTGTGTGTATAAATATACAGGAGAAGGACAAGCAATCTACTGTATTTTAAAATCTGTCCCAATAATATTTTTAATAATATTAATAAAATTTGTTAATAATATTAATAAAAATGTTTACAAATATGAATAGTAGCTACATAAAAATGCACATCTCTATGTACTCGGTGTGTGTGTGTGTGTGTGCATATGTGTATGATATATTGTGGACTATGGTGGCTTGGTGGTAATGAATTGCACTGCCAATCTAAGGGCACAGAGTTCGAATCCGCTAGCTGTTCCTCAGGAGAAAGACGGGCTCCTGTCATATAGTTTATTGCCTCTGAAAATCCCATGGAGGGTCAGTTAGGAGTCTGTTCTGACTCAATGGCATGTAACAATAATGTGTGTATACATACACATGCGTAGATACATGTATGTATTCGTAGAGATACACACATGCATGTATATGTGCACATGTGTATGCATATTTTAACTATGTAGTTTTAAGCTTAACTATTATACAGTTTCTCTGTTCACTGTAGAAAATATGTTCCGAAAGAGATTTTTTTAAAAATCCCCTTGCCACAAGGATTATAAATACATTGTTTAAACAGCCTTTCACTGTTTTAAAGGGTCTGTTGTTGCCCTTTGTGAAGGCACAAGGAGAAAAAGGTTTCAAGGAGAAAATGCTGTCATCTGATTTATTTACAAAATAGTTCTTTCTTAGCAAGTACAGACTGTGTGTCTGAGTGGCGTGCAGAGAGAGGCGGTTTAGTATGCATGCACTGTTCCACCAAATGCTGCAGACTTGAATATGTGTCAGGTTCTCATTAGTGATGGTGACTCCGTTACAAATGTGTTTGCAGTTTTAGAAGACAAGAGTTTGCCTGGGTATGATTGTCTACAAGTTTAAGAATGACCCAAATGGCCAAGATGAACCACAGACACCTTTTTCACCTTTTCATAGTCTGTGGATTGATCATTTGCAATTTTTGCCCTCTCAGGATATTGTTAGTACTAAAAAAAGAAAAAGAAAAAATAATCTGAGGGGTTTTCGTCCAAATTTTCCAACCCTGCTTAACCCAGGTCTGGGCATTAGCTAGAATGTCAAGAATTCCTTACCTTCAGAAGAAGTTTTCAGTTTATGCCTGTTAACATAGCAAAGTTATTTATAGAACCTCCCACCATTGTTCTGGTTTTGATACTAAATTACAGTCACCCCAGTCATAGGACCTGCATGTAAGTTAGTAAGACATCTTCCTGGGCAGCAAACGAAATGAAAAAAGGATTACCAATAATGATGTCCCACAGCCCTTTCTGATTGTTAGCATTTTTCTAGGTGGGCATATCCTGTGAGTCTGGGCTAGGTCCTTTCTCCAGAATGTTATGGCCACATTAAAATGTTGATTAGTAGCTAAAGCTTTCTTCAGTAACTAGTTATGTTGGGTGTGACTACATGTTTCTAAAACCAGACCTGGGGGGTGGGAGGAAAGGAATAGTAAAAAATGGATACACTGCCTGTCCCAAGGGATTTGGGCAAGAAAAAAGTCAACACAGATTTATCACCAATTCTTCTGTCAGAATAAATCACAGTGCCTCCTACCTTTGGCTCAGCCTCCCTGTTTTCAGGTGCAAGTATTATCATCCTGAAATAACACTTTAGAAAAAGATGTTTGCCCTGGCTAGAGATGAGGTAAATTGTCAGTGTCCCCACTTGAGGAATGGAAAACAAGAGCTGGCACTCACTGCAAAGATAGCTGCAAAAATAGCTGGGACTCAGGGTATACACAAAGTAGAACAATACCAGGCACACAGGTTACTAAGGAAGGCCTTTGATTCGAAAAACCACACAATGCGGATGGTGTTTGTGGGTACCTCTGTGTGGAGGAGTGGAGAAAGAGTGGGGTAGAGGGGAGAGATTAGTCTTTAAATTTTAAGTATATATGTATGTATGTATATTGTTGATTGCCTTCAAGTAGAGCATGACTCATAGTGACCCTATGAATAAAAGGCCTGAAGCCCCTCTACAACTATCGACCTTTATCAAAGTTCATAGAGTTTCCATTTAGGAAGTGGATGCCACTCCTGCTTCCAAAAGTGTGTGTGTGTGTGTGTGTGTGTGTGTGTGTGTGTGTATAATCTGATTTAAATGAGGGAAAGTGATCAGTTCACATGTAGATGTGTAGTCTCTTGAAGTCTTAACCCTAGGCTGCCATCATCAATTCCATTTTTGTTAGTAGCCGGTCAGTGGAATCCTGTATTGCTTAATGGATGAAGTATAATAGTTGTGTGTCTGTAACAATTATCATGCTCCACCTTGCCTTGAATTGTTAAATTGTGACACAGTCCCCTGCTTCCTTTCTGAATTGTTCCTTTTCCTTTACTAATATACTTTCAGCATGCTGGCATATGCCTATGTGCTCTTTCTGCAAAACCTATTACACTAATATCATTGTCCTTGTTAAGCAGAACTCATAGAACATAATTACAAATGTAATTGGATGAACATTTGATTCTGCTTCCCTCACTTTGCCTTGTCGACACTTTTTCATAATTCTGTTTCTACGCATTTAAAAAAGTGTATTTTGAGATCTTAAAATAAATCTTCTATGCCAAAATCAGTGCCACAGTTTTAAGGAAAGGATTAGAAAAAAAGGAAATTAAATAGTTTCATGAAATCAATCTAAGAGTCTACTGAGCTATAAAGCGTAAGGCCAGATTATCACATGGGGCATATTTTTTAGTTTCCCCTTAGATTTTACTTAACATCTAGTTATAATTAACATCTACGGGAACTGCATGCCCACCCCCATCCAATCCCATATCCCACTGATGATGTTATTGGAAATTTGGCAAATTAAGTTGCTTTTGTGTACTAGCTATGACAATTTCATTTAGCCTGACCTCTTTCCCTCTCTCCTTCGAACCCTCACACTGGCATTAGCAGGTGGGTAAAAGAGTAATGACAAAGACCTTCATACTTCCCTGTGTCCTTGTGACTGCAAATTAATGTTCAGACACTCCATTCTTACCTGAATAGCTAGCTGTAGTTTTAAATGTACCCTTTTACTTATTTCTTTCCATAAAGACTTGTTACTGTGGCTCTGCTTTTCTGAATGGAGCAAAATTACATGGACTCTGTAAAAAGACCCAACTGAAAGAAAACAATAGATTCTTCTCTGAGCTACAAATGGAGGCTGAGGTCTAAATTGGGTACACAGCATTGAGATTTTTGGTTTTGCTCCTTCTGATGTGCTCAGAGAGAAAAAGTGGGCTGGGAGGAAGTGTCAGTGACCCCGCATGCTGACACTTTGTCTTTGCAAACCCCAAATCATAACATTAATTTCTAGCAGATGCTTAGATGTGAACAGGAATTGGTATTTTTTGGCAGCTTTTTGATACACAGTAATTCATCTGTGTCCTAATTTATTTACATTAAGGACTCCCCTTCCCCCCCTTGCTAAAGACAGCTGTAATGGTAAAGGGTGGTTGCTGGATTTCCCTTGCTTTCTTCACTGAATGTAAGCTTTTCTACAGGATTGTGAAGACCTGGGCAAAGGACCCAGTCTCCTCTCTCTCTGAGATGACATGAAAATGTCTCAACTGTCACTCCAATACCCAGGCGTGAGAGAGAATGGGAAGAGATGGGCAGGGGAGGCTGCTACTTTTGAGGTCTCCAGCACAGTTTCAAGCACTATTGATTAGAGTAAGATTTATAACTGCAAGGAGTGAAGGTTTTTACAAGGGGTGTGACTGTTCTATTGTTTATCTTCTAGAGTGGCATTTAAAAAGAAAATGTTTAGTCTACTCCTGGAAAGCTTGTAAATGTAAACTGTAACAGAGAAATGGAAGTTTACAACTCCTCTGGTTCCCCTCTCCACCCCTGTCCATTCACAGATTTTTATACTGATAAAAGCATATCGCTGTACTGTTGATAAGATGAGGCATCAGGCCTTTTTGGCAGTGAAACCCTTCCATTTTTATGGCTCTCTTTGCTCCTGTTCTCGCCCTGTCTCTGCTATCTTCTCTCTCCCTCTCTCCCTCCCTTCTGTCTCCCTTCATTCCTTCCACCCTCTCTTTCTTCCCTCCCTCTCTGTCTCTCTCTTTAATGACAGATGCTATAAGCGCACCTATTAGTCCACTTTAATAAGCATTTACTTTCAGATATCTAGATAAGATTCAAGCAAAACCCAGATAATACTTGTTTAAGAACCCATCACCCTGTGTTTGGAAATGATTAATAGTGGAGGATTCTTGTTTGTACTGAAGCCATGAGCAAGAGCAATGTTACTAAGTGCGGGGTCATTCACGGGCTACACAGCACTGTCCGCCTTCCTCAGTGAATGAAAACTTCAGGCTCCTGAGAGTAGAACCTGTACAGGCACGCTTCCTTTTTAACTTCAGATTTGTTTTTTATTCATATATCAGATTGTCAGAACTACTGGCTTAGTTATTTACATTTGTTTTATGTTCAGCTGTCTGCTTGATTTATACTAATGTGATATGTTCCCTTTCTCTCTTCAGCTTAATAACTGGTTTATATTTTGTTTTGATTTTCCAGTCCCGTCTTTTACCTTCACACCAACAGGTATATATTTGCACTTACCCTCCTCCCTTCCTTTGTTAGTTTGGCATGTGTTGTATGATTGTGTTTCTGTTTTTATTTTGTTTTCTGTCATAAGTGGGGGAGAGAACTTAGAATACAATACTTCATTTATGCGTGTCAGGCATGTACTTGAAGTTGAAATGGCTGGTACTGCTTTTCATCTAGTTAATGCAACTATTTATTCACGTCTCCACATTGCATCAGAGCCTTGTTTGCATGCGTTCATTAGGTAGACACTCTTTATACCCTCGGCATGATTTAACATGCAAATTCCCTTATTGATTATTTCATTCTCAGCAGTGCATCTTTTGCCTTATCTTAAGCTTTTCAGGTTTCTAAACACAAATTTCATTACCTTGCCATTCTCTATCCCTAAAACCACAAATCGTGAAGATAACCAAAATATCCAGTACAAGTGAAAGAGAAAAAATTTTCCTTTTTTGCCAAAATTCTGATATATTGCTCTTTTCCATTTCTGTGAAAGTGGGTGTTCTTTTTTTCACTTTACCTTTAGGAAAAGAGATACCTGTAGTCTTTTCTGGTTTTAATCCAGTTATTGTCATCGTTGCAAACAGTTATCTCTCCTCAGCAGACTCCTAGTTTGGAGTTCTTCTTTCTAAGTAGCTGAACTTGGCAGCTTTTGAAAACACATTTCTTCTTAGAAAATGCATCTGTATTTACAGAACAGCTAATCTTCTTAGCCCATTGCCTAACTACGTGCAAATCTTTTGGTGATGGTTGTGGTGGTGGCTAAATGCTTAAGCCCCAAGTTTATTAAATGGAAAATGGTTTCAAACACATTAAAATATTTTTGTTTATATAATAATGTCTGATAAAAGTAGAACAAAAAGGATCTCTTCAATCCACAGTTTAAAAATGGCCTCGCTAATTAACAGTCATAACTTTGTGTGTGGAGAAAAGGAGAAGACTTTATCACTTATCTTTGTCTTACTAGTATTCATGCTTATGGGAAAATGGTATTTTATCCTTCCAGTTTAATTATTTCACTTATCTAAAAAAAATCATAGCATAATGTGATCAAATAATACATTTGTAATTTAAAATTATGGGAGCAAAAATGTATGATGATTACATTTAATAAGGGTATAGAATATTTTGGGTTTACGGTCTCAAGCTTATCGGTACAATAAGAAAATAAAAGTTATGTACATTTAAGACGATGTAATCTTTTAAAAATACTAGTTGAATTAGAAATCTTCTGATACCCTTTTCAACAATTTTAGTAAAAAAAGGGAACATATTCTATTTTATCTATATGCTTTTGAATGTTATATAGTTTGATATATAATTGTACTTATTAATTGTTCTTTTTTTTGCAACCTTTTAGTAACTTATCAGAGAGGAGGTGAAGCTGTCAGCAGTGGAGGGAGGTAATTATTTTATTTTGTATATTAGAAGAGAGTTTTCAAATATTCCTATGCGTCTTAATCATTGATGTTATTTCCTTTACTTAAGAGGCTTGGCTTAACTTAACTCTAAAGTTTTGTTGAAGTGTTTTGCAAATACTCGCCTGTATTATTGAAACACAATTGCAGCTTGTAACTCAGTTAATGACCACGAGAGGGAGCACTTCAACCAGGAAAGGCAGACTTGCTGATCCAGCAGATGATTAAAAGGAGTTAAAATAATTAAGCTTTGGCATTTATGAAGATTAAGAAATATAGCTAGTTAACAGATACTATCAAAGAAAAATATTCACTTGAAAACCTGCTGAACACAGCAACTGCTCATAAATTGTAGGCTATGTTTGTTTGCTTATTTGTGTTTTCTGCCCTCTCCTCTGCTTCTAGATGCAGTATAGATAGTTAAATCACCATTTGCAGGGAAATATGCTGAAATAAGAAATCTAGGTAGCTTGCTAACAAAGAGCTTTCTTCCTCTCTAATGAAAATGAACCACAAATCCTATCTTTATGATTTTTTAAAAAAATAATTATTATTCAGTGAGATTTAATGCATTCACAGAGAAATCACAAACTGACGTGACAGGCAGCTTAAAAGGGTCTGATAAAAGGTGTATGTATGTTTTATGAGCCAAGCATCAAGGTTTTCTATTAAAAGTGACTTTTTTCTTAATGTATAAGGAAAAAAATATCTTTCCAATAATGTCATTGTATAAAGTCAAACTCATTGAAGTTACATGCTTCTCTGTATGGTTGCGTAACGTGTTTGCTACTGGGGGAAAGAAGAATGGCTAAAATATTATTCCTGTATCCAAGGATCATGTGATTAAACAAGAAAATGACTGAATTTATTGTGTCAGAAAGTAATTAGGGGGAAAAAACCCAAACCCCAAAACTAATCACTGATCACCTTGAGTTACTCCTGTAAGGATTTGGCATCAGTTACAAAGCTTTTCTTCTACCCCAGTGCTAACTTGCTGTTCTCATACCTGTGACACAAAGCCATATACTCACTGAAAGACCTGCAAGCTCAGGAGGTCTTTGTAAGAAATAAATCCACTTGATTCCAGAATTCAAGTGGGGCATGTTTTTGCATCCAGGGGAATTCCGTATAAATCACAGCTCAAACATTTATGTAAGAGCCTAAAGCAAAACAATGCTCTCTCCTGGGCCAAGCTGGAATGCCTGATTATATAACCAATCGCCTCTTGACGTGGGTCTAGCCATGATGTACGTTTGGGCTTTCTCATTAATAAAAGCCATGGAAATATTTTTGAGCATTTTCTATATGCTTGTCATATTTAATGACACCTAAGCCCAAACCTTTAAATCTTTTTACTTCTTGCACCCACTACCAAATATTGTTGATTTTGCCTCTTCCCTCCTTCACCATGAATAATATTCTGTAATTTTAAGCACTTGCTCTCACATGCCTATTCTGTGACAAGTCCCAAGCAGCCTTACCTTCAGCTAAGAGCACCTCCTCCTGCAATTTTCCTTTGCTCACTAGAGCCAGACTGTCTTTCTGAAAGTTTATTAATCTTGTCTCTGAGCTGCCCAGAAATTCTCATTTCAGTGAAGCCCACCATGATGTAAAAGAATAAGACCAAATTTCTCAGAGTATTGGGGATAGCCCACACCTCCATGCTTCCGGGGGTCCACTTCACACCTTCAGTTTCACAATGTCATTGACCCACCCGCCATTCCCTAACACCACACTCTTTGCCATATCTCTTAACTGCATTACACGGGTATTGCATCAGCCTGGAATACCCCACTGCCTTGTAGCCCCATATGAGCTTACTGAATTTTACCTGCTGTATCCTCTTTCTCCTCTTTGTACTATATAAATAACACAAATAAGCACCCAGCATAAGGTGATAGAACCATCAGCATTTGGAAAACTATGACTCTTGACTGACTCTGTCACTAAGAATATAGCCACACTTAACTCTCTAAGGGTAGAAGGTAGAGTCAAATAATTGCCACAAAATCCTTGTGGCCTTCGAAGCTTAATTTAATTACTGGCTGGTCCTTTACAGAGAAAATTAGCCAATCCTTAGTTTATATTGTTTCTCACAATATACTGAGGTCTGGAAGTACATTGACTAAATATTGACCATTTCAAGTTTGTGTTCAGTGTCATCAAGTGGACTAGACCTCACAGCAACCCTGTGAACAACAGATCTGAACGTTGCAGTCTCAGGCTTTTCATATGAGCCCTGAGACACCCTTTGTTGCAGTCCCTTGTTATAGTCACAGTGTTGGTTATTGTTGAGGATCTTCCTGTCTTTCTCTGACCTCTTCTAGCACAGTGTATTTTTCTAACCAAGGATCACTAATAAACACCACAGGAAGGAAGGAATGAGAAAGTGTTAATGAAGAAAGATTGTCAGAGACCCAACTTCAGTCCTTGATTTAGAAAAAAAATTTATGTGTGTGTTTATGTGTATAAAACAAAACTGTTCTTTTAATAAAAGAGAAATAAAGATAGAGGTCTCTCCTAGTTCTCAAACTTACACATTTAGCTTTTATCAGGAAAAGGAAAATGAGATTTTGGTAGGGAAAAAGAGACATCCCCTCTAATCTTGAAAAGGACAAAGACTGTCACGTCATTCAGAAGAGGCTCAAGATGATATTAAATTAGTAGCTGTTCTTGTTCATTTGTTTTTCTAATCTCAAGCATCCTAGTTTCTTTTTCAAACAACCACCCCCCAAAAAAGTACTTAAAAACTACACCACAAAAAAGTAGACATGGAGAAAGGGGCTGGGAAAGTCTGGCTAACCAGATGAGGAATGTGAGATTACATTTCCTGTCAGTGAGAGGTGAGAAAGAAACAGAATGCAATCTTTGTTTCTCTTTAAAATGGCAACCCATATATCTGTCCTTCATGTCCTCCTGGGCTTCAAAGCTCTTTCAGCACCTTTAGGCAAACCTGACTGCCAGCTGCACTGACCATCTCCTGCAGCAAAGGGAACCTGTAGTATTTTATTTTGTGGTTAAGCAGTTCAGATTTTTTTTTTTTAACTGGAGAAAGTGATGGAATTTCTGATGCAGGAAGAGGAACTGAAGGTACTCAGCACATCATTATTAAAGTGTATTTGCCCTCTTCTCCATGATGTTCATATATTCCTTTAATAACATGACAAAGTTCTTGATTGTAGGCTCTGATGTTTCTTCTTCCTCGGTTAATATTCTATTTTTAAAGGACAGGGGAGGAGCTAAGCCAGATTTGGAAAATATAATAGCGAAATTATTACTATTGTTGTTGTTGATTGCCTTCGAGTCTAGCACAACTCATAGCGACCCTATGAACAAAAGGCCTGAAGCCCCTCTACAAGTATTGATATTTATTAGATTCATAGTGTCTGGAAGCATGTTATTTAGGAAGTGGATGCCACTCCTGCTTCCAAACTGTCATAGTATGTTATTTTTCATGTCTAATATTAGAATTTAATTTCCATATAATGCAAGAATGCAATATATACATTATTTGTAATATATATATATATATATGCATACACATTAATAATGATGACAAAAACACTAAAGCAAAAATGAGAAGTAATCGAAGTATCTATTAATATTAGTAAGAAAAACCCCAAAACTCACTGCTGCTGAGTGAATCCAATTCATATTAATCTTTCATCAGGCTTTCCTTGGCTAAAACTTTTACCAAAGGTGATTGTCCAATTTCCTTCCAAAAGCAGCTGATGCATTCAAGAGTTCAAACTCCTAATTTTTGGTTTAAAGTGCAAGATAATGTGCCATGTTTTAAATATTTCTTAAAATATCATATGATGATGTATTCATTTGCTCACCAATTGCTCTCGAGTCAGAAGTGACTCATATTTGTAAATCGCATGAGAGGAGGTTGTCCATCTTTCTCTCATAGAGCCACTGATGGTTTCCGACTACCAGAGAATCACCAGAGAGGCTCAGTCTTTGGGTTAGCAGTGCAGCCCCTTAGAAACTATGCACTCAGCATGCCTTGTGATGATGTACTTGATGATAATGTTTTAGTATGCAAATCACCATAACCAGGGAGCTCTGGTGGCTTAGTGGTAAGGAATTGCATGGCCAAACCAAAGGTATGTGGTTTGAATCCACCAGCTGCTCTGCAGGAGAAAGATGGACAATCTCTTCTCAGGCAGTTTACAGCTATGAATCAGTTCTGAGTAGACAGCAGTGAGCAAGTGAATTAATCATCATATGTCAGCCTTCTGAGTCTGTAAATCTTAAAGAGAGGAGATTGCCTAACTTTGGCCCTCGAGTCAAAGGTGAATGGATTCAATCCACTGACATTTACTGGTTAAAATCCAACCTCTCATGCACAGTAGCGCATTGGAAATGTTAGTTTCGAAAGATCTTAAAGCTTTGTCACAGCAACTGTTTATGACCCTGGTGTCCTTAAAGACCAATGAAACCTGTACCTACCATCTTTGGGTTAATGTTGGGTCAGTCATCACGGGTTCACTTTAATACCTTGAGTAATTAACGTTCCAAATCCGAGACTGAACAGAGTGCTGAGTTGTGAATTGTTAATCTTTCTTCCTGTTGGAAATCACTTATATATGTGAAAAGTTGTTTCAGCCTATGATGACATCATAACATTCAATTTAAAAATTTTTATCAGAGACATAAAAGTAGAGGAGAAAAAAGTCTCTTCCTTTGGAAGCATGTAAATGTGACTAGAAAATGTTCACATGACCTGTTTGTTCTCTTAACATCCATACCATCTTCACAGTGTCAAAATTGGAAACTTTTACTTCTCTTAAAAACTTCCATAGTGATAATATTTATTATGTAAATTCAAGAAAATAAAGTAGTAAAGGTAAAAATTACAAGACACAGAATTTCTGTTACTAACTTCTAAGTCAGCTACTCCATATCGCTATGATAGAATGAATAGTTGCCATCAAGTTGATTTTGATCTTGGGAAAGCCCACCTCACATGTGTCACGTGAGAATAGTGCCCCATAGATCACAGGACTTTTCTCCCAACATGCCTCAGAGTGATCTAGAACAGCCAACCTTAGCAGTATATTATGCTTAGCAGGCAAGCATTCATCCCACCCAGAATCTCTGTCTGTGATATAACTTGCATTTAAATGTTAACAATTTTTAACAGCTCAGCACCATTTTTCTTTGCAATTTTAATAGCTTTATTCTGAATTTCAAGGCTTCAGACATCTCGACACTTCGTTTGTTCAGAATGTTTTGAGAGTTTTAAGCTGTTTCTTCAGCACTTGGAAGTCTATGGTGGTTAAAGCATTAAGCTGTAAACCAAGAAGTTTAGCAATCTGAAAGCACAGGTTGCTCCGAGGGAGATAGATGTGTCATTCTGGTTCCATGAAGATTTACAGTCTTGAAAACACAAGAGGGTAGTTAGACTAAGTTCAACAGCAGCAGAGATGGGTTTATGTGGTAGTTTTTTGTTTTGTGTTTTAAAGTTTTTAGAATATGTTTTTAAGCCACTCTGGATTGGTTGTAGATTCTTGTGTCACATCCCTGGGTTTGAATCCCAGGTTTGCCGCTTGCATCATTTAATACTTGTAAGGGCTAAATCTTCCCATACATGTAGGACATGGTGTTTCACAAATTATAAGCACACAGTAAATATTTGTTTTGGTTACAGATACACACCTACACCCAGTTAACACAAATTCATACACACACACATATATATACACACACACATGCACACACCACACACACATAAAAATTATAAATCTATAGTCTAAATTGGTGATGAATTATTCTTCAAATATCCATTATTTGCTAATTTCCTTAGCTGATGACTGGTGTAGCAGAATAGATACCCCAGCAAGTGGAGGTAGGTCCATACTGCCTCAGCAAAGGAGAAATGTGGTAGTTGCACTTAAACAAAGAAAATGAAGCCACAGAGAGTATCTCTGCAGCGTCTGCAGTGCCAGTCTGTTTACTATGGCTCTGACAGCCCGTCATACATCATCACCCCTTTCGCTGAATTACCCAATGGGGTTAGTGCTGGACGAGGACATCAAGAACACCGTACTTGGACTCCAGTTTAAGTCTTTGGCACAGCTAGTCCAAGCTCCCATTAATAATTTTGCATTCCTCATGCACAGTGAAAGAGGATTAACATCTGTTGTGCCAAAGAAAACATGAGTGCCAGCATTTCCAATAGTGGACATCTTTGTTTTACTACATTTCAGTCAGGAGCATTCCTCTGCTTATGGAGGGATTGGTGGCATTTTACATTGTCTCCATCAAAAGAATGTTGACAAGCTTACAGGACTGTACACAGACACACTGGTGAGGCTGCGTGTAAGATGTCACTGAGCCTCTTATCACAGTTTCTAAACCATGAATGAAATGGACTCAAATGTGGTTTAATATTTCAGATCTATCATCTGAATGAAGGAGCTTATTCTTTAATGAAATTGTGAGAAGATTCGTCGTGATGAAATGCAAACCATCCTGACTAACATACACTTTTAGCCACTGAGAGATTCCTTAAAATACTTGTGTCTGTATTTTTTGATTCCCCATTTGTATTTTTAATTATGCAGGCTGAAGTTAGAGTGGAACATTACAGAATGCACCTCATTTTATATCTGATACACAGCTCTGCAAATGTAGAATATCAAGGCTTCTCCGAGAACATGACAAGAGAAGCCACTCTTGCTGCAAAATAAAGCAGTAATCGTCTGCAGAGTTCACAGAATGATTTGTGTCACTGAGATACAGCCTTTTGTGAATAGGAAATATACTTCCCTATCCATAGAACTCAAAGAGCTCTGGCCCTATAGTGTCGTTTATGTTGTATTCCAAACCAAAAGAAAGGTCAACAGTTGGAATCCACTAGCCAATCCAAAGGGGGGGAAGATAGGCAGTCTTGTCCTGTAAAAATGTATGGCCTCAGAAGCCCATTAGATAGTTGGACTACAGAGCCGTGGGATTAGGTGGGTGTAACTCAGAGGACTCCTATGAGTTGCAGTCAACTTGATGGCAGTGAGCTGGTTTTCGTTAGTACTCATGTAACTTTTGTTTTCATTGTTTGTTTGTTTGTTTGATTTAGACCAGGACTTCTCAACATCAGCGAACCTGCAGCACAGCCATGGCTGGCAGACACGTGGCCCAATACAGGCAACAATCACAATGACTGCTCCATCAACTGCTGCACGGCAGGCAACGGGAACAGCGACAGTAACCTGACAACCTATAGCCGCCCAGGTTAGAGACACAGACGGCTTGATGTGTATAAGATCCGGCTCCACGGCCATAGATTCCCTCTTCTTCTTCTCAACCCTGGCCAGGCATACACCAACTTCAAGGGTGAAATAGAAATCTAGATACTTAAGTACATAGGCAATTAGAGCAAGTCAAAAGCTTTTACACAAATTTAGAGTTCAAATCCAAGTTCTTTGGTTCTTCTTTTATATTACTGATGCAGTAGTGGCATTTCTGCTTAGCTGGGAGATTTTAAAACCAAGTCTCTATTTCTCAAGAAATTGTGAAATTGTGTATCTGTCCAGACAATTGTTCCATTTACAGTTCTAAACATGAAGGCAGGAATAGAGTAAGCCAATCTTCCCTAAATAAAATTCTTATAAATTTGCAATATAATTATTGTGTAACTTAAGAAAGAAAATAATAGTGAGTGAATATAGACTCTAGCAATAGGGAAGACTGTAAAGGTAAGAAATACTAATTTTTTTTTAATAATAAGAAAGCTCTTAATTTGCAATCATTTATATATTTCTTTGTGTGTGGTTTATACCTTGTTTTGTATATGTATATACTGAAGAGGAAAGGAGGTGAGAAGAAATAAAACATAGCAGGAATTGTAAACTTACTGACATTTGGAAGGAAAACATGATGAATATTTTATCAAATATAAATGAATCTTTAACATGCTAGCCTTGCCCAAATATTTCACCCATTACTGTCAATGCCCATATATCACTGTCTACCAAAATGCAGACTTCCCAGTATGCAGTGGGATAGTGAAAGAATAGAAATCCCAGAATAGATAAGTAAAAATATTTCTATAATTAACACCGTTTTATTAAATTGTTTTACGTGTTTATAATGTCATAGTTTAATTTAGTCTAGGATTTGAGAACTAGAACAAATCAAAAGGTCAATAAATCTACTTTTAGACTAAATTAATTTTTTTGACTAAATTATTTTTATTAGCAATACAGATTATAACTGTAAAATAGTAATAAGAACTAATTTTTTAAATGTTTTTTTATTTTATTATTTTTTTGTGTGTACCGTCAAATCAGATCTGACTGGTACAGGAGGAGATTGTTCCTCCTTCTCTAGCAGAGCATCTGGTGGATTCGAACCATGCACCTCTTGGATTGCAGTGCAGCTTCTTGCCACTAGGCCACCAGAGCTCACCAATAAGAACTAATTTAAGTGACAATTAATGACAATGTAAAATCAGATTTTATACCATAGAAATCTGTCCTAAGGTTAGAGGAAATATATCTTTTTTCTGCACATGAGTATGCGTGCACTTATTTTGTCTAATGTGTTTTTGTTTCAGACATACAAATCACTTTAGCAAAATTCCACAATAAAACATGACACAAAACACAGATGCGAATGTGCAGTATTTAAGGGCGCGCTGCCTTCAGATCAGTTCAGACTCATGATGATCCTCCATCAGGTTTTTTCTTAACGTCCTGTTGAGTTGGAGCAGACCCGTAACTGACCCTCTACGGGGTTTTCCGAGGCAGTACATTGCATGAGGGGAGATTTCCGATCATGTTTATGAGGCTCTAAGTCTTTACAGGGAGAGACTGCCCCTGCTTCTCTCCTGGAGCTGCTGGTGGACTTGAACCATAAACATTTTTTTGTATTTAATCCAACATGTCACAACTTATGCTTTCTTTAGGAAAACAATTGCAAAACTGGTACAGCATTTTAATCACTGTGCGCCAGGACTCTCTTCATAGTGTTATTACTGATATTAGGAGCTGTCAAGTCATTTCTGACTCCTAACGGCCCCATGTACAACAGAACAAAACTCCTTCCAAACCTGGGTCCTGCCCACAATTTCTGCTCTACTTACACCCATTGATATAGCCAGCTGTGTTGGCCCACGATTATTTTGTGGATCCTCTTTTATTCCGCTGCTTTACCAAGCACTTTACCTTCTTCAGAGACTAAATATTAATGCACAAAGAATCAAAAGCTATGACACATCACTGGTATAGTAGGGAACATCGCTGCCCTCCAAAATGTATGACTTTAAAAGAATACTTTTTTTGTGTTAACCCACAAAAAGAGTCTTCAGAAAGGGAAAGAGAAATTGCATTTCCAAATCTTGTATACTGTAAACAACAAACCATAGAATGATCTGTATGGAAAGCCTCTTAACAAGTCCAAAATCTCCTTTCTGGGTATGAACAAGCACATATCTTCCAGATGTCTACAATCTAGTTGTCAGGACAGATATATACACAAGTTAGTATCATTTAAATGAAGAGTGTGTGACCTGTAGAAAAGGTTTAAAATGGGATAGCATTTAAGTAAGCATATAACAGTATGTTGCCTGATATAGTAGACACCTTGTGAAGCCTTTAAAAGTTAAATTAATTTAACTTAATGAAATCAGAAGTCAGTCTCTGAGTTAGCCACATTTCAAGTGCTCCGTAGTCAGAGATGGCAATGGCCACTGTACTGAGTAGTGCAAAATAGATCAAGTCCATTGCCTTGGAATGGTTGTATGTGTCTAACAGCACTAACAGTGAAAAAGCAAAATGAAATGGCCTAAATGATATTGCCATTAATAATATGAGCACTGATGTCTCAGTAGTAGGGAGTTGCGCTGCTAACCCAAAGGCCAGCAGTTGGAATCCACCAGCTGTTCTGTGCGAGAAAGATTGGCAGTCTCCTCCTGTGTGATTGGCTGTCTCTCAGAAGCTGCTGGAAGACCAGCAATGACTCTGACTCAGTCGTACATAACAACATTAAATAGAACGCAATGCCTGGAAATAGCATTTACTAAGAGAAAGATGAATCTAGTCTCCCTGCTCAGAGTGGATACATTCAGTAAGATTTATGAGACTAATGAGATAGAACATTTATCAGAAGGCACAAGTTTTTCTTCAGATTATATTCATACTTGTATCTTTAGTAGCAAGCTTGATAATTGATTATTTAAAAAAATATTTTATCTGAAACTAGTTTGCAAAGTGACCTGTTAATATTGACCATCCCCCCAATGCATCAGGTGAATGTAACAGTAGCATTTTTATCATTGGAATTCAACTGCTTTTTAAAGTTGCTTTTATTTAAAAATTCTATTTTAGCCCTTCAGCTGTTATTTTGTATTTTCAGCTGTAGATTTTTGTTTCCATATGTATCAGTGTCATAACTCTCAAGAAAAGGTCAGTGAAGTAGTAGTATAGGGAAAGTAAGATAAGAGACATGTTAATATTATTTCAGGCTTTACTCAAATTATTCCAGTTACTGTAATTCATTTTGTCATCATTATTGTCATTTCAAGTTTCTTGGAGTGTCATTATGAAACCATGAAAAGATTATAAAAAAAGATGATTATTATGATTCTATAACATCTTTCTCTAATAATGATTATCCTATCTGGCCAAGAGCAAAACCAATATAATTCTCCCAAGTCCTGTTTATTCTCATTTACCTCCATTCTTTACTTCTTTTGAGTAGAGATAATTTAGAAACTATTGAAATATCACTGTGTTCTGTCAACCAGGTAACAGTTTTTGAATTATTTTTCTCTTCTTTCCTGAATTCTCAGCTTACATACTTGTTCTGTTGCTTCAACAGCTTCTGATGCTAGTAATAGCTTTAATTAGTTAAGTACAAGTTTAGAAAATAGAAATTTGACAAATATAATCATGTAGACATTGTTTTAGTGAAATTCATATTGATGATTTTGTTAAAAAGTAAATGATTTTAAACTAGATGAGTTATTAACTACAAAGTACTATTGCAAGTTCAAAATTACATCTATTCTCTTTTAATCCTTTATTTTTAATTATTTGTAAGTACAGTGAGTACCTGGCCCATTTTATTGGTCTTATTTAAGCTCATTTATATAACAAGTTTTCTGTGATTCACAAAGCTACTTAGAAAGAAACTGACAATGAATAGCCATGCAGAATGACTTTTTCCTTTTCCTCTCCGTTGCACATAGCTGATTGTATAGCAAATTATAACAACCAACTGGATAACAAACAAACCAATCTGATGCTCCCTGAGTCAACTGTTTATGGTGATGTGGATCTTAGTAACAAAATCAATGAGATGAAAACCTTCAATAGCCCAAATCTGAAGGATGGGCGTTTTGTCAATCCATCAGGGCAGCCCACTCCCTACGCCACCACCCAGCTCATCCAGTCAAACCTCAGCAATAACGTGAACAATGGCAGCGGGGATTCCAGCGAGAAGCACTGGAAGCCGTCAGGACAGCAGAAGCAAGAAGTGGCACCAATTCAATATAACATCATGGAACAAAACAAATTGAATAAAGGTGAAGAGTCTTGCTTTAATATCTATCCTTTCCTGTATTGGGACTCAGCTTTCAGCCCTTGATGTGGAAACTTGCCTAGGCCTGGGATTGAAATCTTGGTTTTGTTTCGAGGATTCTTTGTGTATGTGTGTTTCTATCCCTTTGGTTTCAGGATTTCCAGTTTCAAAGAGTTAATTAGCACCACAATAACCTTTGAAAATTGATTTTATAATAATATATAAGTATTTTAGAATGGTTTTGAGATTAATTTAAATTTAATAGGAGGTGAAGGATTGGCTGGGACAATCTTTTATTCATAAGGCAGTCATACAACCATCACAATACCTTACATTTTCAATAAATAGATTTCTCCCACTCTTTCTTCTGGAGATGAGAGATAATTGCTTCTCCATGGTCATATAAATGAATGGCATTCTTATATGGTACAGAGAGGGAAAAATAATTACATTAACTTTGAACCGGAGAAGTGGTTCAGTTTGTTGTATGTCTCCCACTTGGTGTGGTTACTAATATTGTTACAATGTACAATTTTAGAACCTAAATGGTTAACCTGATTGAAGTCTATCAGTACAGAACCTAAAATAAATTGAGTTTAGTGTTAACTTGAAGCAGCAGAATAGTATTTGATGGCCTGAGGGAAAATGTTTCTCTAATGTAATGTAGGTGAATTGGCAGAAATAGGTATTTGATATATTTGTAGTCCTTCAGGCTAGTGCTTTAATAACCTGATTTGCAAAGTTATACCTGTAGGAAAAAGTAGTACTTTAATTTGTAGATTTGAGCAATTTTATACAAGTGTCCAGGTAAAAGATATATTTTATTGTAGATAATTAGATACATAGATTTTTTTAAATGCTTAAATTTTGGTTAATATTTAAAAATCCTACTATTTGAAAATAAGAAAAGAAGATACTTTTGTTTCACTTAATGTCCTATGTTTTATTAAGGAAGTCATGTTTGATTTTGACCAAGTTTAAAAAAATAACACTTGGTCTTCATAAAACCCATTCAATAAGTAGTTATTAAGACTCCTGTATAAACTCATGACAAAAATTGAGAAAGGTGATTTGGATAACTTTTAGTAATCATAGAGTTTACAATGTGGATCCAAACTGTTGTTAAATTATCCCTCCACGGTGTTTCCACTATGGCCTCTGGAATGCCCTGACAGTTCCTTGTACAAATATTTCAGACCTCTGATATATTGTTTATACTGCTAGTACATGAACTTGATATGTCAAATGCTGAAACACTAGACTGACAGTTTATTATTCAGTACATGCCAGTGTCAAGTGTATCATTTGGATTCTCACCTTTTCTGTGGTACCTTGAGATACTTATTTTTATTTTCATTGGTATTTTTTATAAGATAGAACCTTACTGCTAGTTCACTTTTACTTTAATTTTTATTATTCATATACAAGATATCAGATATTTCCCTTTTCCTATTTTATACTTATTACATTAATGACTGTATTTTTTATGTTAAGAAGTCAGCAGATCTGATTCTTCCTTAGGTAGTTTAAAGATCTTTTAAAGGTAAAAAAAATTTTTTCCATTAGCAAATCACTGTGTATATATTTTCAATTGACATTTTAAATGAAAGCATATCTATAGGGTTTTTCTTTGGAAAGAAACAGCAAGCATGGTTAAGCTTACCGTCAATGTATTTATGTATTCTCTTATTACATAAACATGAATTAACATCCATTTGAAATATGAGCTTTATGGTATCCTAATAATCTAAAGTAAAAATTAAAAGATGGAATTAACAAATAGATTATCCATCTTAATTCTTCAGTAATTCAGAACTACAGATAAAGGAAGATGTGAAATAATACACAAAGAATGGGGTGGTTTTTTTTCTTCTCTTTTTCAAATGTCTAGATTACCGAGCAAATGATACCATCCCTCCAACAATCCCATACAACCAGTCATATGACCAGAATACAGGTGGATCCTACAACAGTTCAGACCGAGGCAGCAGTACCTCTGGTAAGTGAGGGGAATCAAAAATAAATGACTGCAGCACCTCTGCTTGAAAGTGATAGTATGCTCTGGAATTCCAAATTACTTGCTAATGGATTGATGCCTTATGCGAATTATCTGATTACTTTATGTAATTTGCATTGGCCAGGCCTGTGTCATTGCCTGAGTGATAAGGACCACATCTGTAGATTGGAGGAACTGCCTGCTTTACACACCAGTAGATGTTCCATGTAGTAACAAAGATGGAAAACTCTGTTCACCTCCTTCAGAAAATTCATCTCAATTCATTGATTCAATTCACTGAAACCAACTTATAACTGACACCCTTCAGTGAATTTTGGAAGTTGTAAATCATGCTAAAGGAGATTACCCAGCAGTCTCCCATGGAGCTGCTGGTGGGTTTGAATACCACAGAGGCACTGATTTTGGCTTAGCGATGCAACCCTTCATACTGCCAGAGCATTCTTCTTTCATGCTGAACTTTAGTCAAACTAGAGGCATGAATTAAACTTCAAAGGCAATTTAAAACTCTCTCCCCTCCCCATGGAAAATATGTTCCCATTTGAAACTAGGCTGTTGTTATTGTTGTTGTGTACCATCAAAGCAGAGCCGACCCATAGCTGATTCTCCAGTGGGTTTTCGGAGGCAGTTTAATCACACAGAGGGTGATTGCCCATCTTTCTCCTATGGAGCAGCTGGTAGATTTGAACTGTGTGCCTTCTACCACTAGGCCACCAGAGCTTCCTTGAAACTAGGCTATGGAAGGATATAAAGTTTTTTTAAAAAACTGTAATACTGAGTTTTTGGTGAAAGTTTCCCAGGTAAGTTAAGATCTCATTGATAATTCCTTTGATGACAATAGTTGAATCTATCACCATGTGTCAATGTTCTCTTTGTTTTCAGTGTATTCCTTTTTTCAGTACCCTTATTTTCCCTGCCTCCTTATCTTCTGATCTCTGCATTTGAGTAATTATGATGTTTTGGTCTCAGGCTTATAGTTAGATTTTTTAATCTTTTTAATTGTAATTTTAACAAAGTTTACAGAAAAGTTGGATTTTCGTTCATTAATTGTTGCACATTTTCCTCCGTAGCTCACCCCAGTTCCCTTTTAAAAAAAAAGTCCATTGTTGTGTAATTTCCCCCCTCTCCTCCCACCATCTTCTAGTCCACTTTGCTAGGCACTTTTAATTCTCGTCTGTTGTGATACAAACAATGCTTAATCATATCTTCCTTTTAAACAGTTCTTTCCTTCATCTGTCCCAATGCAGTAAGAGCAGATAAATAATAATAAAGACGACTAACAGCATTTGACTGTGTGGATCATAACAAACTGTGGCTGACTCTGAGAAGAATGGGAATCCCAGACATTTAATTGTGCTAATGTGAAACCTGTACTTGGATCAAGAGGCAGTAGTCAGAACAGAGCAGGGCAACACTGCATGGTTCAAAATTGGGAAG